TGACACTTCCAAGGTAGGTAAAGGAGTCCACTTCTTCCAGGGGAGTGTCTTCCACTGTCACAGCAAGGCTTGAAACTTTTCCTAGCTTCACTACTTTTGACTTGCCTGGATGTATACGTAGGCCAACACTCCTTGATAGGCTGTTGAGTTCCTTGGTCTTTTCTTGCATCTGAGCATGTGTGTGAGAGAGCAGTGCAAGGTCATCGGCCAAGTCTAAGTCGTTATAATAGGGTTCGGGCTAAAACAATTGTTACTGGCCTAGGTTTCTGATTACGTCTTTTTTAGTTTTAGTGAGAATTTTACGGCAATTACATCACAATAAGACCATATAATATTAGTGCCGAAGATTAGAAGTGTTACAAGAGAGTAACGAACACAAAAAGAAGGAGGGGAGATAGAGAAGATATATTTTTTTATAGGAAAAAAGGAGAAAACCACACCAGAGCACCCGCCAACCACTCACTGATAACTTCTGATTAGAGGGCAGTCGATGAGAACTCAAAACAACTGGTCTCAAGTGCACTCATAACACACCAACATTTGACCAAGTTAATTCTGCTTTGAAATGTTCCCTAAATCTAGACGGCAACTGGCCTCTGTGGACGAAGCTCGTCTCCTGGCTGACCTAAAGTGTGTGGGTGGGGGGTGTAAACCCCTACATTGGAAATAAATGAACGAAACAATCTGGCGTCTGCCACACCTGTTGCATAAGGCCGACTTCCGACTTCCAACTTCCGAGATCTCTTCAGTTTCGGCCCGATGGAGCAGACTAAGCGGCGAGTGCTATACTCTATACGTTCTTATACTGTGACTGTCTCGCCGAGTGCTATACTCTATACGTTCTTATACTGTGACTGTCTCGCCGAGTGCTATACTCTATACGTTCTTATACTGTGACTGTCTCGCCGAGTGCTATACTCTATACGTTCTTATACTGTGACTGTCTCGCCGAGTGCTATACTCTATACGTTCTTATACTGTGACTGTCTCGCCGAGTGCTATACTCTATACGTTCTTATACTGTGACTGTCTCGCCGAGTGCTATACTCTATACGTTCTTATACTGTGACTGTCTCGCCGAGTGCTATACGTTCTTATACTGTGACTGTCTCGCCGAGTGCTATACTCTATACGTTCTTATACTGTGACCGTCTCGCCAAGTGCTATACTCTATACGTTCTTATACTGTGACCGTCTCGCCGAGTGCTATACTCTATACGTTCTTATACTGTGACCGTCTCGCCGAGTGCTATACTCTATACGTTCTTATACTGTGACTGTCTCGCCGAGTGCTATACTCTATACGTTCTTATACTGTGACTGTCTCGCCGAGTGCTATACTCTATACATTCTTAGATTATACTGTGACTGTCTCGCCGAGTGCTATACGTTCTTACCGAGTGTCTCCGGCAAGTCTTGCCTACTGTGTGTGTGTGTGTGTGTGTGTGTGTGTGTGTGTGTGTGTGTCAACAACAGATAGTGCTTGCTTGCTGCCGCTTGCTTGCTCTCACTTGCTGTTTTATTTAATTAAAATAGCCGAAAGCGTTCTCTGTTTAGTTTTAGTAGAGGTTTTACAGCGTTCGCAACGCATTAGGTCATTTGAGCGCCAAAAGCTTTCTGTGTGTGTGTGTGTGTGTGTGTGTGTGTGTGTATGTCAACAAGGCAGTCCATAGAAACAAATCGCTTGTTTGCCAAATGTTTGCTGCCCGTTAGGCTAGCTTTATTTATACCACAGCGTAATGGTCTCTGTATGCCAACAAAGCGATCCATGGATTGCTAGTGTTTGCTTGCCATCGCTAGCTTTTTTACTGAGCAATGCGTTCACCTTTGGTGTAGGCCTCTATGGCAAGTTAATCTTAGGAATTGTGCTAGTGCTTGCTTGCTATCGCTAGCTTTTTTATAGCGTGAAGTGTTCTCTGTGCACATATCATAAACACACAATATTAGTATTATTATTATTATTATACCTGTGGGACTCTGACCTACATTGTGACCCTGGGCCGAGAGCGACCCACCGTGGCCTGGACGGTCAGACATCGTATAAGAACGTATAGACCGTGGCCATCATAATGTAGGCCTGGCTGTTGGACCACTCTGTGCCCGTCGACACCGTTCTGCCTACACACTACACGCGAGGAGGAGCACGCAACCTCTACGCCTGGAGGTTTGGTAGCCCGTGAGCCTATACGACACCTGACTACACACCACTGCACACAATGCGCGCATCACACGTACGTGTGTGTGTGTGTGTGTGTGTGTGTGTGTGTGTGTGTGCACGAGTGTGTTTGAGTACAATGTGTGTGTGTGTGCAAGTGTGTGTACCAGTGTGCTAATTGTGTGTGAGTAGCCTACGTGGCTACGTGTGTGTATGTGTGTGAGAGTGCGCGCGCGTGCATACTTCTGTCTACAGTACCACTTTAAACGGGTCGATATATATAGGCCTCACACAATTGGTTTCGTAATGTATAATTAATTGTACTCATCATTCATGTGACATAGATCTATATATTTCGACTAGATCTATAACGTTTTCCAAGATTTGCAACGCACTTCCGCTTCTGAAACGAGGATTGTCTCCAGCGATGAGTAAGGAGAGCGCAAATGGGTGAATGAGACTCACACACAGCGCAAGGTGTGTCCATGCAATGCCGAAGAGCCGAAGAATAAAGAGAGAAAGGGGGTAACCCCTTTCTAAATTTAGATGTCTGTGTTTGTTGTGTAGCACACACTTTTTTATCCTACACTATGACGTCACTACAAGGGGAGGCAATTTCCTCGGAGGTCACTCATTTTCAAGCCAATCGAAAGCTTCCTGGCAATCACGTGAATCCGATAATCAGAAATCGTGACACAGTGACTTTGAGCACACACACACGTAAGCACGCTTGTCTGATGCTAATTTTCGCTTTGTTTTGGAAATTATCGAATACATTACGCTCTGGAATTATAATTGTTGCGATTTAGACTCTTTTTTGGACCATTTTCTTCTGGTAATGTGAACATTTTGATGGGAAATGCGGAAATATTTCTTCACTTTCATCAGACGGCAGCCATTTTGGATTTGAGGGTGGGCGAAAAGGAAGCTCTTTCTCATACCAAAACACAAGGCACCTGTCCTCTTTGTTGAGAAGATATAGATCTAGATCTAGATCTAGTTTAAGTTGTTGTCTTTGTTCTTGTGAAGATTATCAAGTAAATTGAGTTTCCATTTATAAATAAATCATTTTATATGTCAACAAGTAACAAGGCGATTCTGTTTACATTTCTAGGCATTGGATTAGTCTTTGTCGCAAGTGAGTAGTGCTGTGTGTGGCAACAGCTGATTCGCTTTGTGGAGCTGGTGAAGTTGTGGCGACCGTGGGCCCCCCCATCTCATCTCATCTGGCTCTCCACATTCGTGAGAAGCAAGTCATCCAACGTTTGGTAACAGTCAGGCGGGCTCAACTCTGCAAGAAATTGTTTTCCATTTTTTTCCATTAAAAAAATAGTGGACAGTCAGTTGGAACAATTTTCTGGGCCTTTCTGGGCTCAAAAAACAGGTTTGTAATTGATTAGATCTAGATGCTAGATCTAGAATCTAGAAAGATCTAGATCTAGATTATCTAGAGTCTAGATCTAGATCTAGTAATTGTAATGAAATTAGTAGTGTTCATTTTATTGTATACAGACCCGGTAACCGGGAACAAAGTCACAAAGTATACACAGACCCGGTAGGGGAACTCTTTTGTTATTTCGGAAAGTTTCAATGCCCTCTTGGTTCAGGGTTAACCGTTTCGCACTTACAGCGCCCGTATGCGCCCGTGCCGGTGACCCCCGCTCATCCCTATAGTCTATAGCGCCCGAATGCGCCCGCCACGGGGGTGTTTGTTTCGTTGCTGCGGGAGGCTTCTACTTTTACTATCATCAGAAGTTTAACTTAGCTATCTTTATAGAGGAAGAGTTCCGGTTTACTATGGTGTTTTTCATGTTTCGCTAGCACAAAGAGTCACTTTTTGAGCGGGAACAAAAGTCGGAGGAGATTTTAGTTGTAAACACGCCATCATGTCTCTAGGATGCATGGGCGCAAAGCTGCCCGATATGAGAGTACGACAAAAACAAAATAAAAACACCCAAAGAAAAGTCTTTTAGGTGCTTTCAAGTTTCCACCAGACGCTTCAATCTCTGTGAATGTGTTGTATTTCTTTTGTGTGGATTACCTCTTTGTCTGTGGCAGAAACTTCGTGAGTTGAAGAAATGTAGTATACGAGGTCTAGATCTAGATCTAGACTCGGAATCCAAGACACGCATCTCAGAAAGACCTCTCATATCATTTCATACTCTTCTATTCCACTTATAATTTTGTACTAGTAATTTAGCTCATTCATTTTCCCTTCAGAAAATACTATTTTCATCATTTTTGGTTGTGTTTGTGATTTTATACAATTTTTTTTAGTAAGGTACCCCTTCAATTTTCGTGGAGTTGTTGCCCTTGTCTTAAGGATGGGGGGCCACAGCTGGCCAAGCCTGCTAAGTGCGAAAGGGTTAACCTGGGTTCTTCTAGATCTATGGCCTAGATCTAGATCTAGACGGACAGACATATCATTGATCTAGTTTCCAGGCTAGCCTATAGATCTAGGTCTAAATGAAGATTCCGGATGTCTTTTTGATGAACAATTGTTTTTTTTCCGTTTTTGGAGTTGGAGGAATCACAATTTGAAGAAAAGAACAATGTCATAATTTCAATGGAGCAGTCTCTCTCTCTCTCTCTCTGTCTGTCTCTCTCTCTCTCTCTCTCTCTCTCTCTCTCTCTCTCTCTCTCTCTCTCTCTCTCTCTCTCTCTCCCTCCCTCCCTCCCTCCCTCCCTCCCTCCCCTCTCTCTCTCTCTCTCTCTCTCTCTCTCTCTCTCTCTCTCTCTCTCTCTCTCTGTCTCTCTCTCTCTCTCTCTCTCTCTCTCTCTCCTACAGCCCAGAGTAGCCCTGGGAACATGTAACTTTCCCGCCAGCACATGCGCTGTGTTTTTTGCTGAGAACACATGGTCACTTAAAAAACTTTGAAGCTACAGCGAGCACCTTGCAAACCTCTGTGATTGGCCCAAATATTGATGATGTATTTCTGCCATCTATTTTTGTCGTCTTCCGGGGCTTCCATCGCCATTTGACTAGATCTCCCCGTGGCAGGCCCACTTTGCCGCTTAACGCGCGATCGACTACGTAACTAGGGGTCGTCGCCAACTGCTTGGGCTGTTTGTGTGTGAGTACAACTTTGAGAAGGTAAATTTATGAATGAGAATTGCTGAGATTGTTTTTAAGAGATAACACAGTTAATTTACAAAAGTTAGCGTCACTTGCCACCGAGTGACGTGGTGGCAATTGACTTTATTGACGCTGGTGTCAATTGCCACAGAGTGGGTAGATAAGTTAGATCTAAGTAGTTACACACATTCTGGGGTTGGAAAGGAGAATAGTAGAGGTCAATTTCCAAATGTTTTGCACTCAAATTCTTCTTTTTACCTGCACAATGGTATTCAAAACTAGATCTATCTATAAACTTTTATATCTATTTTTATCAGGGAGTATCTTTTTGCCTAAATTGTAGCTCATTTGAAAGATTTTGTGTACTGTAAAATGAAAGTCTTGTTTCCTGACTATCCTTTTCGAACTCGTCACGTTTAAGTAGGTCAATTTGTTGTCTAATTTCATTGGACAAACATCAAGAGCTACCGACTTCAACTTAGCGTGTTTTGAATGAGATGTAGGCTAGCCTATGCTTTGGTGTATAACCAACGCAGGCGATTCTAGAAGTATGCCACAAACGCTGACAAACTCAAGCAGAAAAATGCTTCTTTCTTTTATATATATATATATGTGTGTGTGTCGGGGAACATAAATCTGGGGGATGGGGGTTAGGGAGAGAGAGAGAGAGACCCGCCCGCCCCCACACAACACAGG